ATGGCCACGCCGCAATCCCTTCTCTGTTCTCCTCTCAGGATCTTGGGCACGCACGCACACACGCCCGGCGTGAGTTTTAAGCCACTGGGTTCGGTACGCGAACCACGGTCGACTACGTGGGAGTCCAGCGACATAGCCGTTACGCTAGCTGCTGGTCCCTTTAATTTTTTTTCTTTCTTTTCTCTCTCTCTCTCTCTTTTTTTTTTTTCCTATATGGCATGTGTGCTCACCAGAGACGCAGAGAGAGGCAGAGGCAGAAAGTGAGAAATCACCCACCAGGTGTGCCCCAACCCACGGGACACTCGAACAGGTTCCCTGGGGGAGGGAGTGAGAGATGAGACAAACACACGCACACACAATACGAGGTGCTGATCAAGTCTTCCTCTTCTTCTGTCTTCCGTTTATTGAGGGAAAATGGTGAGTTATATATAGCTGGTGGGCACCAATTGGTTGCCCAAAATGCAAATGAAATAGAACAGCATGAACCAATCATTTAATGTGGGTAAATCTCTCCTGTTGCCTAGAAACCCAACCACTTCTGGGGAGAACGGTTAGTCACATGATTTCTGAGAAACGGCTTGCTTCGTGAGGAAGTGAAGCCTAATGGTTTCCAAAATGGAAGATAGCTCAAGATGGCAGATAGCTCAAGATGGCTTCCGTATGCAGTGCCCTCCACACAGGTGGATGACCACATCACAATGATCACAATTCTCTTCTCTTCTGTTCTCCTCCTGAAATCCTGGGCATACACACACATGTACCTGGCATGAGTGTGAAGCCACTGAGTTCAGGACTCAAACCATGGTTGGCCATGTGGGAGTCCAGCGACATAACCACTATGCCATCTCCTGGCCCCCCTTTTAAGATCTTTTAGTGGAGATATGGTTCATATACCATGAAAATCTCCCCAAATAAATTTTAGACCATTTTTGTCACTCTAGAAGGAAACCCTGTATCCATTACCAGGTATTCCCTATTTCCTCCCAACCCTCAGCCTGTGACAGCAACTTACCTACTTTCTGTTTCTATGAATTCGTCTATTCTAGACATTCCATATAAATAGAATCATATAACATGTGACTGTTTGTATCAGGCTTCTGTCATGTAGCATGTTTTAGGTTTATCTCTTCCATGAGGGAGGGAAATACAGAGAGAGAGAAAGATAGAGTCAGTACCTCTAACAGGTTTTAGTGCCATGACCCACTCCCAGTTTCTGCTCGGCATACTCTGGGAGGTCACCGGATGCAAGCACAGAACCTTCTCACTTGTGTCAGCCTACTAGAACATAGTGTTTTCACCACTGTACCATCACCTGGCCCTCATTTAGCATAGTGCTTCTGCAGTTCAGCTGCACAGCGGTATGTGTCAGTACTTCATTCCTTTTTATGGCTGCATGATATTCCATTGTATGGATAAACCACATTTTGTTTATCCCTTTATCACTTGATGGGATGTTCCTACTTTTTGGCTACTAGGAATAACGTTGCTGTCAACATTCACGTGCTAACTTTATTGTGGACATATTTTAAAATTTCTTTCTTGGGTATATGTCTAGGACTAGAATTGTTGGGTTATGTAGTAAACTATGTTTAACTGTTTGAGGAACCGCCAGGCTGTTTTCTAAAGTGTCTGTACCACTTTATATTTCTACCAGAAATACAGTAGGGTTCTGGTTTCTCAGTATCCTTGTCAACACTTGTTATTTTCCATTTTAAAAAAATTATAGCTATCCTTGGGGCAGCAATTGATGTGGAAGATAAGGCGTTGGATTCCCACATGGCCAACTGTGGTTTGAGTCCTGGACCCAGTGGCTTGAAAATCATGCCAGGTGTGGGAACCAGCAGTTAGCGTAATGGCTATGTTGCTGGACTCCCACGTAGTCAACCGCGGTTCGCGTCCCGGACCCGGTGGCTCAAAACCCATGCCGGGCGCGTGTGCGTGCGTGCCCAAGATCCTGAGAAGAGAATGGAGGAGAAGGGATTGCAGCGTGACCATCCCCTCTGGGGGGGTGATTTCTCGTTTTCTGTCTCTCTGTCTGTCTGTCTGGCGAGTGCATGTGCTCTATAGCGAAAAACCTCTCAAAATAAAATAAAATAAAATAAAAAAATCATGCCAGGTGTGTGTGCATGCATGCCTGGAGTCCTAAGAGGAGACTGGAGAAGGGACTGTGGCATGGCCATCCTCCCTGGAGGGTGATTTCTCACTTTCCCTCTCTTGTCTCTCTCTGGTGAGTATACGTGCCCTATGGCAAAAACCTAAGAAAAAAACTATAGCCATACTGGGGGGTACTGTCTCATCATCTCTCTGTCACTCATGGAAGAAAGAAACAAACTGAAAACAATCGTAGTCATCTTAGTGGATATGAAGTAGTATCATATCCTGGTTTTGATTTGCATTTCCCTAATGATGAGAGATGCTAAGTGTATCTCTACGTGCTGTTTATCATTTGTATGTCTTCTTTGGAGAAATGTCTATTTCAAGTCCTTCATCCATTTTTATTGATGAGTTGATAAGTGGTTTATTTGGGTTCCCTTTAATTAGTTATGTGGAGGCAAAGGACAAAGAGCAAGAAGCCAAGCACTGGTGTATTTCTGACCTCTGCCTGGGAAAGAAGAAACATGTCTCTTTTCGTTTTGCTTCTGATATGACTGTTGATGTGTGGTCCTCTGATGGCTAACAGCCAAGGGGCTGGTGATTGGAACATTGAATCCATGTGTATAACCATCAGGAATTCTGTGTCTTACCTTGAAAAAGCTGATATTATATATTTTGTTTTGAAAGACATGTAGGGGACAAGATGGAGAACTTCACGCCAACCTGCTTTGCCCTGTGGATGTGGCAGATGTGCCCGAGGGCACTTTGCCTGACAAACAGAGCACTGAGGAAGCTATTCGGTTATTGGAAAAGATGAAAACATCAGCTGACCCTTTCTTCCTGGCTGTTGGGTATCATAAACCACACATCCCCTTCAGATATCCCAAGGTGAAGAGCTGGCCAAGGGAGGGACTTGGGTAGGGAAGGTGGTCTCATCCTGCAGTCTCCAGTCATCAGGGATGCCTCACGGGCACTCATATGCTCAGTGGAGTGAAGATAGTAGAGAAGAGATGGGATTCAGAGGTCATGTCCAAGTAGTAGTCTTAAGACATGTAAGAATCTTGTAAGAAATGCTTGGCTTTCCATTTCCGCCCCTGGAAGGATTTCTCTCCTTCCTTGCAACTCAGAGCAAATGATGGCGTGAGCAGTGAGATCATAGAGCAGTGAGTCACTGCTGGCTGCCCAAGCCTGGAATGGAGGATGGTGCGTGGGAAGCAGCTCGAAGGAACAGGAAGCCCTCTTCAAGAACTGCCCTTGCCCTCTGAGCCTGTCAGCTCAGACCCCTTGAGCACAGGAGCCTGCATTGCTTTTGATACCTTGAGTCCTATACTTGCTTGTGCATGGTTTGGAGCCTTTTCCATATTATATATAAGTAATATATATCTATATTATATAGATATATATTTTAAAATTCTTCCTACTGAGTTTTCCCTGGGTCTGAGCAGCCCTTCTTTTGACTTCACAAAGAATGCCCCTCACTTGTAATAGAGACCAGATGGTAGACTCTGTGGTGCCCCAGGGTTCCTGCTTTGATTTGCCCAGGAGATTTACCTTCCTGGCAGGAGCTCTTAGCCCCTCTGTAGAAGCCCGCGAGACTCACCTCTCCTGCAACTTTTGCAGACAAGTCGATACAGCCAGCCTGATCTGTGATCCTTCAAAAAAATGGCTCACAAGGTTGGCCTTGGCTGGCATCTGGGAACTTTGATTTTGGGAGTGTTCTCACCATTTCCAGAACTGATAGGAGTGACTTAATCTGCCTGAACTGCTTAGACTAACACTGTTGTCTATGCCGTACTGCCGGAAGCTGAGATACTGGTTGGGAAACTCCTGATCCACCCAGCACTGGGAGGATGGAATTCTGGGAGTTTTCCTTCTGGGAGTCTAGAATTTTGTTATGTTCCAGGCCGGAGTGCCTATGTGACCATCCTCCTATAAAACGTGGGTGCTGAGGTTTTAATGAGCTTCCTAGGCTGGTGGCAGTTTACACTCTCATTCTCACACACCTTGTTGCTGGCAGGATTAGTGCATCCTGCATGACTTTCTGGGGTAGGATTCTGGAAGCTCGCGCCTGGTTTCCTCAGGCTTTGCCTCACTTGCCTTTTCCCTGTGTGACTGTGTTTGATAGCCTTTGCTGTAATAAATCATAGCTGGTAGTGTAACTCTGTACTGAGTCCTGTGAAGCCTCCTGGGGAATTCCTGAACCTGAAGGTGTTTCAGGGAACCCACAGCACCTCACCACACTTTTTCTAGTTGAGAGTGAAGTGGAGACAGGAACAGGAGGGCACCTGTTTGCATGAGGGAAGAGGACTGTTGCTGCTAGGGCTGTAGGAAGCCAGAGTAGCTGGTTTCATTGCTATTGGCACTTAGAGAAGGTGACCTAAAGCCTGACTTCAAGGTGGGAGATAGATAGGTATCTGAGGGGGCTGTGGTGAGCTACCGTGTAATTGCATTACAGGCTTTGAGAACAGGCAGTGTGAACATTGATAGAGTCACCTCTTGTGTCTTCGTTAGAGTGACACCCTTGTGACTTTGTGTGTTACTCCTCAAGGAATTTCAGAAGTTGTATCCCTTGGAGAACATCACCCTGGCTCCTGATCCCCACGTTCCTCACGGCCTACCCGCTGTGGCCTACAACCCCTGGATGGACATCAGGCAACGGGAGGACGTTCGAGCCTTAAACATCAGTGTGCCCTATGGCCCTATTCCTGTGGATTTTCAGGTACTAAGGACATACTTTGGGAACGGATTGGGTACTGACGGTGCAACATCATCACCGAAGCCTGTCTTCTCAGGAGACACTACCATCCATAATGTTATTAGCAACTGCCTGGCCCTACTAGGTGGTATAGTCTGTAGCATACCAGACTGCAGTGCTGGAAACCTCGTGTCTGACCACAGGTTCAGATCCCTGGGTTAGCCTGAAAACATGTTGGAGACATGCATAGGTTGCCAAGATCCTCAGGAGCTGAAGGGTTAGGGAAAGGGGATGACAAGACTGTTAAGGGTGCTTCCTCTCTCTCTCTCTCTAATGTGCATGCTTGTGTGCGCACACACTCTTTGTCTTAAAAAAAAAAAGAAAAGAATTTCCTTTCTGTGCATGGAGTCATGTGAAGTATTGGGGTTGGGATGTTCTGTAGGTATTTAGGACCCAGGCAGTGCTGGGTGGGTCAGGAGTCTCCCAACCAGTGTCTCAGCTTCCAAGAAAGGACCATCTACATAGAGATTTGGTAACTTGCTGCAAGTGGGCACGAGAGCAGGGAGGTGGCCTGTGGGTGATGCCGTTGATCCAGGTGACAGTTCTTTTATAAGGTGGTGAGCAGCTCCTGAGCAGCCCAGAATGCGTGAGTTACTGGTGCTTGCAGGTTCCTTCTCTGGAAGCCTGAACCAGCACCTGTTACTCTCAGGGAGTCTCTTGGTAAGCCGGGTCTTGATGCAGGGGGAACTGAAACACCATCACAGCCAGTGCCACCCAGCTGCAACGTCTGGTGCCCCTTTGCCATGATATGGGGGAGGAGCAGCCACCAGTTAGACTCTTCATGCTGATTCATCAACTGCGCTCTCTTTGGAGAGTGCAGAAGACACACTCACTGACTAATACTCCTTCTGGAATATTCCACACGGAGCCCTGCTCTTCTCTAAGCATCTATGACATGGCAGCTCTAGCAGATGGAAGAGGGCAATGTTTTCAAAGTGCTTCCTGGACCACCTGTATCAGAATGACTGGGGGGGGCTTGTTAGAAATGTAGAGTTCTGGCCCACCCAGACTCTTACAAAATTGGAAACTGGAAGTGGGCCAAGAGCTTTGATTTCCAAAAACCAAACACCAGGTGTACCTGCTGTAGAGGATAGTTGAAAACTAATCCCAGCAGTGACTAAAAAATGCCAACACATGCAGGTATCTCTTGTTCTCCAAATCTGCTTTACTTGAGTTTATGCAGCAAGAGTTTGGATGGTGAGGACTGTGTGCACCTCAAATCTGTAGGATGCCTGAGTTTTAGATGGTATGTGGTGAGAATTTGGAAAGCAAGGAATCCATAAATTTGCTTGTCCCCTAATTTCACATTGCAGGGGTTTTGATAGGCAGTCTGATTGCAGCTCTGAGGCTGGGCTGGATGCCATATCAGTGACAGCCACCTAAAATGATCCTTTAAGATGGACCATATGCCAGGAAATAGCTGAGCATGTGTTCTGTCTTCTTTGGTCCCAGTGGGGACCCACTGAGGTATCTGCTCTTGCTGTTGTCCATGTGAGGAGACTAGAGGCAGAGGGATGTGCCATTGTGCCTCACTATGCTAAGTTAGTGGCAAGGGAGTTGATTCATCCCCAGGCACACACAACTCCAAAGCCCATGGTTGGTTTTGTTCATTCCAAACAGTCTCGACACAAATTCATGTTCTACCCTACACCAGCTGTTTGACCTCTTTCAAGTTACTTTATCTCTTTGAGGCCCAATTCTTCATCAGTAAAATAGGAACAAGATAGGAAAAGGTTTTCCACAGTGACATCTGCTAGGGAACTTCAAAAAGTGAGTGGAAAAGTGGAATTCAAATAGGAGCTTATTTTGGTATGAGACTTTTTTTTTTTTTGAGAGATTTTCACTGTAGGGCGAGTGTGCTCGCCAGACAGACAGAGAGAGACATAGAGACAGAAAGCGAGAAATCACCCCCCAGGGGGGATGGTCACGCCACAATCCCTTCTCCTCCATTCTCCTCTTGGGATCTTGGGCACACACGCACACGAGCCCGGCATGAGTTTTAAGCCACCGGGTCCGGGACACAAACCGCGGTCGACTACGTGGGAGTCCAGCAACATAGCCATTATGCCAACTGCTGGTTCTTGGTATGAGACATTTTGAAATTGATGTATAGTTGTTTTTTTTTTTTTTTTTTCATTTACACATTGTCCTTGAATTCTGTTTACTTCAGGGGTTTCAGTGAGGACTGAAAAGAGCATGTGGAAGCTTCTAGGACAGTGGTGGCTGCAGAGGTGGTCTCTTCAGGTTCTCTTGGACCCCATCTCATCCCAGTCAACTGGGCACAGTGATAGCATAACCTGCAGGGCCTCCCTGGTGTGCTCTGGTGCCCTGAACTTGGCCTTGCCCTCTTTGGGGCCTGTGTCTGTGCCCTGCTTCACTGCACTCTTGAGCTTAGTTCTGTGTTGAGTATGTAGGCCATACTCAGGAGTGTGCTATCCTTCTTGCTTACCATCCTGAGCACCACCTCTTCTCGGAGCCCCCTTGCTGCACACAATTGTGGCCTGCACACCTCATGGGGGTTACTGGAGTGGAGACACCTGTTCTCCCCATTTCTAGGTGGCCCCCCAGCTTCACCTTTTCCCTGAGAAGCTGTGGCAGGAACTTACTGTTCTTGCAGCCTCTCTGCACACGTGTCCATTTCTCTTTGCCCCACCTGCAGTACCCTATCTTGGGACAGTTCAGCTACATCCTCTGCTCCTTGCCAAGCTCCCGAGGGACACTAAAGAGGGTCCACGCAGTTAGTGAGGCAGAGAGGCCCTTGCAGACCATGTCAACTCTCCACTTGGCTCCTCTGGCTTGTCCTCTGCAGCTGCAGTGAACTTTCACCACTCTCCTGCTCTGACACCTCCAGCCTCCGCTCAGTGCGCAGGAGAGTGAGTAACAATGGCTGGTGGGGGCAGCCAGAGAATGTGGAACATACAGGATGGATGTGGATATGGAGCCTAGCTGTGTCCCTTGTCATCTGTGTGACTCTGGGCAAGTTAATTAACCTTTCTGAGCCCCAGAGGCCTCATGGGTAAAATGGAAAGGACAACACTCACTTTCAAGGTGGTTCAGAGGGTTAAATGGCACTCAGCAGGCCCTTGGTAAATGGGCACTATTAAGAGTTTCTTTCCCTGATACCTGGAATTCTGTAGGCATATGTGCAAAGGCTTGAGGTTTTTCTCCTCGTCTCAGAAGAGCAGCAGGGACTTGAGTTCTTACCGCTATCCACTTTACCATCTCTGCCAGTAATGAAGGGGAGGAATCTTTCACCCAATCTTCCCTGTAGCCTCTGCATTCCCCCATCTTCAAGAGTACTGCCTGCTTTGCCTGGCTTGATTTTTCCTTCCTTCTCACCTCCCTTGCCTGCCCTTCAAAGGTGAGTGAGTGAAAAGTAACCTGTCTGACTGCATCTGGGGCCTCATCATCCATTCGTTCTTCATCCTCTTTTGCTCAGGCTTCTGCTTCCCCAGCCCCCTAAGAGTTCTCCTAGCTGTGTCAGCACTGACCTTGGGGAGTAAAATCGGACCTGGTGGGCAGACCTTCCCCAGATCCACACTGCTTTTTCACTGTTGACCAGCCCACCCCTTCTGGAATGTTCTGCCTCTTGGGCTTCCTTGCCAGCCCTCCTCGGCCCCTTTTCTGCTCCAGTCTCCTTTCTGTGTCCCTACTAAGGTGCCAATGTGCTAGAGAATCAGGGTCAGGTCCCAGACCTCCCACTGGGGGGGGTCCGTCTTCAAAAAGTTCATGGAAAATGTGCATTATAAAGAAAACTGTGCATAGATTTTTTTTTTTTTTTTGAGAGATTTTCACTGTAGGGCGCGTGCGCTCGCCAGACAGACAGAGAGAGACATAGAGACAGAAAGCGAGAAATCACCCCCCAGGGGGGATGGTCACGCCGCAATCCCTTCTCCTCCATTCTCCTCCCGGGATCTTGGGCACGCACGCACACGCGCCCGGCGTGAGTTTTAAGCCACTGGGTCCGGGACACGAACCGCGGTCGACTACGTGGGAATCCAGCGACATAGCCATTACGCTAACTGCTGGTTCCCTGCATAGATTTTTTTAAATTTTGCACCAAGATAAACTCATACATTAATTCCATTATCCATGAACTTTTTGAAATCTCCCATATCTTCTCTGCCTCTTCTTCCCAGATAGGCTTATCTGAGCCCTGTTGGCAGGCGGCTCCCAGAACTGTGCCTCCAGCCCAGGTCACTCCTAACTGTCAGCCGTGTGTGTCCACCAGCCTGCACGATCCCTTCTAACAAGGATGGCCTCAGCTCCTTGGGCTCCCATGGGGTCAGGCCACCACCCCTGCCCTGCCTTTTGTCCTCCTCTTGTGTCCCCTGCCACAGCAGTGAATCATGCCACCAGCTGACTGTGAAGCCTGTAGTCACTGTGGGATCCCTCTTCTTTTACCCCTGCCTTACTCCCTTCTCTCCCACAGTGCTGACATTATTTCCTAAATTCCTCTAAGATCCACACCATCCTCTGGATCCATCAGCACATCTTTCTGGGACATTGCAGTGGGTCTGCTTCATTTTATGTGTGGAACACCTCTGATGCCCAGCAGTGATCTAGTGCCCTTTTGTCTAAAGCTCCTGGAATCCATGTTTTGAGCTGTTGTCATGGTTCTGTTAAGATCCTGTAGCCCAGATTGCATTAAGTCCTCAGCTTGTAGCCTCAACCTCCACTCCCTGGGTGGACCCATCAAGTTCAGAAAATCTGTCCTGTGCCACTGTTTTGGTGTACCCTCTCTCCCCTTACACCATACATTTGATTCTCTAGCCACACCGGCTCACTCATTGGCCCCAAACAACCCGCTCGCATCATGACTCCACACTGTCTGACGCACTACAGCCCCTGTGTAGAACAAGTTGTCTCCATTTGTCTGATTGCAGGCATCTCTTGTCAAGTGCTTATAGTTCTGTGAAGCCTCCTCTGATTTGGGCATGTTCTCCCCTGCCATCCCTGGGCCCCACCCATAATGTCTGTTATTTCTCTTCTCTATGAGCATGTCTTGACTAGACGGTGGCTCCTTAAGGGTGAGGACTGTGTCTGCTTATTGCCTTCTCTATTCTCTTGCCTGCTATCCAGGAGCCAGCATGGAAAGGAAGTAGGGAACCCCCTGGGTAGGATGCAGCCATCCTGCTAGGGATCTTCAGGCTCCAGGAAAACCAAAGTTCTCCAGGTCACAGCCTGAAGATTATCTAGCTGGCAGTGTAAGCAGGCTAGGGTTCAGCATAACCGTTCCAGATGTTTATCTGTTTTTTTCATAGCCAGGGGAGAACGGGTGAGTCTTGTGCTCATCTACCCCCACCACCTACCCCTGCAGTGATGGAAGGAAGCTGGTGGGGCCAGCTGATAAGGCAGGGGCAGTGCAGATACAGAAGCCAGGGCTGGTTCAGGAAGTTAGCAGCTCTCTGGCTTCACCTCCCTTGGTGGGATGGGGCCACTGAACAGGCGAGGGAGTCAGCTAGGAGGGCTGATAGCTCATTGCCTCAGAGGATAGCCCAGTGCCAGCAGGCCTTGCAAGGCGTTCTTCTCTCCTAGCCCTTCATTGCTCATTCCCTGCCTTCTGAGAGTGTGTGAAAAATAAGCTACTTGTGACAGCCAGGGCCCTTGGAGATACGTGGTAGCTGTCTCCTGCTGGGTTAGAAGGTGTTCAGAGGAAAAGCCCACTCAGGGCTATTGTGCCAAGTTAAATTGTGTCCCCATGCCCCCAAATGTATTGAAGTCCTCACCCCCCAGAACCGCAGAATGTAACTTTTTTTGGAAACAGTCACTGCAGTGGCTGACTGCAGTCAGCTTGTGGCATGACTGCAGTTAATTAAGAAGCCCTCTGGAGTAGGGTGGACCCCTTATCTAGTGCCCTTCTAAGAGGAAGAGTTGACAGAGGCACAGGGGGGACAGCCATGTAAGATGGAGGCAGGGTCTGGAGTGACATAGCTTCAAGCCAAAGAACAAACACTGAGGATGGCAGCCACTGCCAGGAGCTAGGAAGAGGCTAGATCCTCCCTTTAAGCTTTCAGAGACGGAGGCTGGCTCTCCTGATGCCTGGATCACAGGCATCTAGCCTCCAGGGCTGGGAGACGATGCATCTACTGTAGGCCACCCCCTTGGCCGTACTTCATTACAGCAGCCCCAGGAAGTGAACACAGTTATGCTGTGTCTTTGGCATGCACCTCATCAGTGCACATGGGCCTGTGTTTTGAAAGACCGAGGGGTCAGTTTCTGAGTGCACATTCACCTCTTGGACCCCTTCCGAGTATGTGAATGAGACAGGAGGGAGTAGGAAGTGCTGCACCTATCCACCATTATCTGTGCCCTTCACTGACAGCTGATTTTTGGACTTACAGATTTTACTGTAGCCCCTCTGGGGAGACGAGGCAGAGGGCAGGGAAAAGAATGTTATATATTGACTGAGAAAGTCATCAGAGGCATCAGCTGAGGGGTTGGGATGAGAGATGCTCAGGTGAATGGTATCTCTGAGCACACCCTGGCAACTTAAAGTGCGGTCACTCTCTGACTCATTTCTTTATCTTTCACTTGCAGCGGAAAATCCGCCAGAGCTACTTTGCCTCTGTCTCATATTTGGATACACAGGTCGGCCACCTTTTGAGTGCCTTGGATGATCTTCAGTTGACCAGCAGCACGATCATTGCATTTACTTCCGATCATGGTAAGCACTTCAGAATACCTTGGCAAGTCCCTCAGAGCACCCGACTATTTCTGTGAAACATGAAAGATTGCTGTAAACATGTGTGTTCTCTTTTGTGAATCAGCAGTGCCCTGCATCCCGCATCTTGGAATGCTTTTAGGATAGTAGTCCTGGGACTGGAACCTCTATCCTGGCTGCTGAGGAGGAGGAGAGGTGGAGATGGGCTGGTGGGGGGAGTGTGGGAGAGGCTTGTAGCAACTTTTTCTTCTTGGTGAATTCAGGAGGAATCTCCATTTGTGTAGAGGAGCTCTGTTATTGCTCATTTCTGACCTAGAGGGTTGGAGGGCTCTCCTAATCTGCTATTGTGTTATCTATAGGCATATCTGAGGCTGGGTGGTTGATAAAGAATAGAGTCTTATTGTGGTTCACAGTTCTGGCAGCTGGAAAGTCCAAGGGTGTGGGGTGGCACTAGGGCAGAGGGGAAGGCAGATATGTGCAAAGAGAAGCAGGGAGAGACCTGTGGGCAGCCATATTACTTTTGTAACAACCTACCCTCACGGGAATTAGCTCCTTCTCGTGAGGCTAGAACTCAGTTGGTCTGCTGAGATAGCATTAATCCATTGATGGGGATGTTGCCTTCATGATTCACACACTGCCTGTGAGGCCTCACTTCCTAAAGGTCTCACCACCTCCTGACACCATTACACTGGGGGCCAAATTCCAAGCCATGAACATCTGAAAAATAAGGTTATTTTCCTTTTTTTTTTTTTTTAAGTTTTAAGAATTATTTATTTAATTTTATTCATTAATTTATTTTAATTTGATTAGAGAGAAAGGGAAAGTCAAAAGACAAGCCACCAGGTCTGGGACTTGAACCAAGGTCAGCCATGTAAGAGTGTCCAGTGCATTTACCACCATTCCACCTGCTGCCCCCTACGAGACAAGTCACTTTCTAAACAATAGGAATGGCTCTTGGTTTTTCTCAGGAGGCTCCTGCACAGTCTTGGCAGAGCCCAGTAGGCCTTCAGACCTGTACCCTCTCTCTCTCATCTGTCTTCCCATAGTCCTCTGTGCCCAGAGCTTGGACTTCCCATCTTTATCTCTTTGAAAGTAGTTTTCTACTTTTTCCAGAAATGAAACCATCATTTTTTAAAAACATTCTTTTAGTTTGAAAACACTTCAACATGCCCAGGAGTGGAGAAGAAAACAGCGGCTCCTAGTTCCCTACTCATGTGGTCATGTTCATCTCATCTTCACCCGTTCCCCCTCCCCCAAAGTGTTTGGAAGCATGGTCTCTAAAAGCTATTGCCTCTTTTGAGTATAACTGTAATACCATTCTCATACCTAGAAGGAAAGTGATTATTTCATATCATGAAATGTTAAATGGGACAACAGTAAATCATAACGTGCTTGTTGTAAAAAGAGAAAAGGTCACAGAGCACATAACATGGGGCCAAAATATACTTCCCTTTCATCCTCTGTGCCAAGGGTTAACTAGCGTTGACAGTTGGGACTCCATTTGGAAGCCACTGATTGTACACATATGCACATGGGAATGTGTATTAGACGTGTGTGCACATAGCACGAACTGTATCACAGACATGATTTTCGTGCTATGTAAACTGTTAGGTTCCCTGGCTGTGTGTCCACTTACCAACATCACAGACAGACAATTCTCTGTCCTTCCCCACAGACCTCCCATTCCCTTGTAAAGTCTGTAGAATTGCATTGTACATAAACAATGTATAATGTTTTAATTTGACTAGATGGCTCAATGTATGGAGGTGCCATAAACTTGCACACATTTCTAATGATCTGCCGACCACTTCTGAGTGCCCAGTTTCCTCTTGTCCTTGGACAAACACATTTCTCTGGGGTAATGCAGTTGATTATGAGCAGGCTGGTTCACAGTGCCCTCCTGTAGGATCCATATCACAGCTGCCTGAATGCTGGTGAAGCTGCTGGGTTCTTTACCTCATTTCAGGAGCCCATTGGTCTGGGCATGTGTGCTTTAGTAAGTGACCCTCCCAGGGATTCTTACTGACTCTCCTCTTGCTTATGATTCCTTGGGATGCCCCAGGCTGCCCTGTCCTTGTAGAACTTTGGGGCAGGAGCCGGAATCTTTCTGAGGTGTCTGTTATGGTCATTGATCTCTCGTTTACCCTGATCTCAAGAGCAGTCCTGGGGCTCTCACAGGCATGAGTTCTCCTTAGCAAGACTGTTCAAACCTGTTTCTGGGAAGACCTGAACATGCTAGGCAGAGTTGCACATGCCTGTAATCCTAGCTAATTGGTAGGCTGGGGCAGGATCACAACTCAGTGAAACTCTGTCCAAGACACCTATCTCTGGCCTAGCCATGGTGGCCCAGGTGGTAGAGTACTGCGGCAGCAAACTGGAGCTGCAGAGAGGCCTAGGTTCAGATCTCAGATCAATGTGGACCTGTCAGGTGTACCTGTACCCAGGCTCCTGGTATGCTAGGAGGTTAAAGGAGGAATCACAGAATGATGAGACCCTGTCAAGGGTTCCTGTGTGTGCGTGTGTGTCTCTCTCTCTCATGAAAACAAAGAGATAAATAAATAAATAAAAACTGTCTCCGTCTCTTTCCTACTCCATAAAGGGGAAAAAAAATGAGCACGATATCTTATCCTTTTTTGAATTTGAACAGTTGTGCCACAGTTTTGTAGGTTAGTTGCTATGATCACTTGTCTTCTAGCTCCTAATTCCTTGGGTCTCCCTGGGCTGTCTTAAGCTCATGGGACATAAGTCAAGATAGGTAGGCAGGCGTGGTTTTTGGAGTCCCCACACAGTCAGGACTGAGCCTGTCTTAGCAGGGGAGGCATGTCTGTGTGGGGACTGCTGGACCTACAGAGCCCAGGATGGGTACACAAGGGATATACAAAAAGTTTATGGAAAGTGCATATTATGAAAAATGTGATTGGATTTCAGTTTTTTATTTTTTATACCTAAACAAACTCTTACTTTAATTCTATTTCCTATAAACTTTTTGAAGTCCCCTTATAGGTTGCTAATTGCCTATTAAAAGAAGATGTTTTAGGGACCAGCAGTTGGTGTAATGGCTTTGTCACTAGACTCCCATGTAGTCAACCACATTTTGAGTCCCAGACCCGGTAGCTTAAACTCGTGCTGGGCATGTGTGCGTGCGTGCCCAAGATCCCGAGAGGAGAATGGAGGAGAAGGGATTGTGGCGTAGCCATCCCCCCTGGAGCGTGATTTCTTGCTTTGCTCGCCAGACAGACAGAGAGAGACAGAGAGATAGAAAGCAGGAAATCACCCCCCAGGGGGGATGGCCACGCCGCAATCCCTTCTCCTCCATTCTCCTCTCGGGATCTTGGGCACGCACGCACACGCACCCGGCGTGAGTTTAAGCCACCGGGTCCGGGACTCGAACCGCGGTCGACTACGTGGAAGTCCAGCGACATAGCCATTACGCTAACTGCTGGTCCCTTGTTTTCCTTTTTAAAGGTTTCTTCATTGAGGACAAATGCCTGATGCTGAATAAGGCAGTGTTCAGGTGAAATTGCCCTATGTGTGTTAATTCTAGAGGAATCTCGTTCTTCTGGGTGATGAGTTTTTACTTTCTCTGGTCTTTACGACAGGAATTGAGATGGTATCTACAGTGTACAGGCTATGATATGATGACTCATCCTCTCTCTTGCTGTGTTTTTCATGAACCAGGGTGGGCACTTGGTGAACATGGAGAGTGGGCCAAGTATAGCAATTTCGACGTCACCACCCGTGTGCCCCTGATGTTCTATGTTCCTGGCATGACAGCGTCACTTCCCAAGGCAGGCGAGAAGCTCTTTCCATACCATGACCCTTTTGATCCTGTCTCAGAACTGATTGAACCAGGTATGAAATATGCTGAAGTAACAGAGCCTAACAGTAAGAACATGTTTTGTCTCTGAGTGAGCCAGCCATTGGGTCATGGGTGGGGGTCCCCCCCTCCTACCCTGCATTGCAGTTCCTTCTCCATGCTCTCCAGTCCACAGGAGTCTCACACGCCTCCTGTGCTCTAGGCAGGGCTGGAGGGGCCGAGCCCAAACTGACACAGGTGGCCTCTGGGGACAGGGAAAAAGGAGCAGTGGCCTCCCCAGCATGTTCAGAGCTTAGAGGAAGGGCCTGCCCCCAACTTAACCTGTACATTTTGGCTGGGACTCAGCTGGCTCGAGGGACACATTTCCCACGCAGGCAGCTTCTTGATCTAGTGGACTGCTAGATCATAAACTGCACCAGGTAATTCTTATCTGTCCCCGCTACAGTGAAGGGCAGATTCCCTTTGACATCTATGTGTGTGTCCTTCAAAGCCATGAAAACAGCAAGGGTTCCTCCCTTCCCCGGCCCTCTATTAATGCCTTCTCTCTAGACTGAAGCCCCCAGTCTTTCAGCCATTCCTCATAGGGTAGTGTTTAGACCTATGCTTGAGGAAGCACATCCAGAATGTCCCCCAAACCAGGTACTCCTGCTGGCATAGGAAGGCCTGTGTGAGTCACATCTTGACTTCCTGCTCAGTGCATTTCAGAGACAGGCTGCACACTGCAGATGACATTTGCTCTTTCTGGAATGATACATTTGAGCCATCTTCACCATCTGAAGCCCACCGAATTCACTGTGAGCACTGTTATTGTTTACCTGGCTTTGGGACCATCATTCTGGCCTTTCTGAGTTTGCTTTATGCTGCCCAATTTTATGTTCTGTGTGCTTGATATCTGTGCCCTTCCTTCTCTGCCTTCTCTCACATCCTTGATAGAAAAGTAAGCACTTCCAGTGTACGATTGTAGCACTCTCTTTGCTGGGAGAAATCTGACAGGTTGAGAATCCTTTATGAAACTTTGGTTCGGAGGAGCTCAGCAGGTTACAACCTGACGATACTGCATCTAGTTCTTTTCCAAATTAAATTCCTAGCCTTTGTTTTTCCCTGAACTTCAGACTTGAGTTTCCAATGGCCTGAACCACTTGGTGAGTCCAATATGTCCGAGGCTCAATGTCTGATCCCTCACCTTCAGCTTTTCCCTTGACACTTGTTTTCTTTTCAGGAAATGGCATTAGTAGCCCAGGCCGAAAAGCCATGTGATCATCTGGAGCCCCGTGAGAGCCTGCCACTCTCCATTCAGAATCTGACCCTACCACTTCTCATGCCCTAAGGCAACTGGTGCCATCTTTGCTGAATTACTGCACTGGCTGCCTCCCGGACCCCCTTTACATATGCCATTGCTCTCCTAGAATTTTTCTTCCTCTGAGCACTCAAAGTGATCCTTCTATAAACCCTAGTCAGGTCCTTATGCCCGGCTCAGGAGCCTCCTATGTGCCCTTGCACTCGAGTACAGGTCCTTCTCACAATGGCTGGCAAGGCCTTATGATCCCACCTCCCATTATCTCCCTGATCTCCTCTTTTTTTTTTTTTTTCATAGGGCCGCTGCCCTCCCCCGACAAGAAA